TAATTGCGTTCCAAAATAAATTCTAAAATTATATCTATAATCTCCAATCTTACATACATTCTGAAACAGTATCTACATTCTAAAAATCACATCTACAAACCACAATCTTACATACATTCTAAAATATTATCTAATAATACGGCAATGCAAAAAACAACTGAGTGAAGATAAATCCAATCGGGACTCGAGCGAGGGAGTAACCAGGGTGTGATCACTTTTAAAATCAAGAACATTACAATCATATGAAACAAATGTTTTCATCATATACTTTTCCTAATTATGCAGATTATAAACAATGTTTTATTGTAATGTGTGATTTTCGATAAAACAATTTGTGTTATAATTGTAAAACACGTAAAAAAAAACGTATCCAACAATTCATTAATAATATATATATACATACAAGTGTTTTTAGTTTTAACTTTTTCACAACGATGTATATAATTTTAAAATAGTTTAACACTGTATCTATATTACAGCCGTATCTATATTCCAAAAAAACACATATTTACATTGTGCCTACATTTAAAGATCGTATCTATATTATCAAACCATATCACTAACCTGATATTTGATATCAACGCTCGATTATATATAATCACATATCATAATATCATATTTACTTATTCTCCCCCATAATCACATTCACAAATTTTGTTATATCAACATTCTGTAGCAATATCTATATTAAAGGAATTATGTAGAATCTTATATTTGTATTTGTGATTTTGACTGTTTATAAATGAGTAATTATGTAATTTACATATCACTCTATGAGCAGTCATATACAAATATCGTTCTTTGGCTGGAAATACAGAACTTCTTTTATTCTTCCAACAGGAAAAAGTGCGAAGCAACAATAAGAAACCGTCACTTTGGAAAACGTACATGAGGGGTTATGGTTATAGTATACTTTTCTCAACCACACTAAAATTCATTTCGGATTTGTTGAATTTCATACCCCCTCTTGCGATCGGTGGCATCGTGGCTTATGCAACCCGAGTTTACTATGAAGAAGACATATCGAATGATACACAGGTAAGTACAGAGGTCTGTGATCGGTGGTACCGTGGTTTGTAACCCATGTTTACTGTGATTAAGATAGAGCGAGTGATGCACGTGTAAACACAGAGGTTTGTGATCGGTGACATTTTGACGTTTAGTTGTAACGCATGTTTACTATAATGACAATTTCAATGACGCACTTTAATACGTTGTAGTTGATTCTGTCATTTGTATCAGTTGAACTTTTTCAAACTTTCCTGTTTGCATATCAGCCTTGTTGTAAGGACATTTTGATCTGAAAAGTGTCTGGGGAAAAAAATGCTTTTTGGGGGGAAGAAAATAGGATGTTTTTATTAATTGACATTATTTCCGGGCATGGTATCTTTGTCTGAATTTGGCTTAAATGTTCCGGGATACCTCCCTTCAAAATTTGGATAGCACACACTGGACTCAGAGAAGAGGCTTGTCCTCTAGAAAACGTTTGGGTATGGGGTCCGTGACTACGCCTTGTATTCGAGTTCGTAGCTTATGGGTCAGCTCTGCGTGTGGCCTGATTGCTTGCCCTTTGCTTGTGGGTTCACGTTTGACGTATGTTTTTTACCACTTATCCCCCACCCTTTTGTAGGAGAGAAGTGTACAATTTAATCTGAATTTTGTCACTTTCTTTAGATTTTGTGTGAAAAACCGGGATTGCAGTCTGCACTCGGGAAACATAGTATACGTAACAGTTAAAATTGTAAAATCATATCAAATAATATATTGTGGTCGGCTGATCATGTGTATTCCCAGCTGTTTGTCGTCAATACTTCAAAGCGGAGCGAGGGATTTAGTAATCACGTCGATAAAATGATAATAACGCATTGTAATACATTTATAAATATTCAGAAAGATGAAGGGAATGCTTATTTTGAGTTTATTATTAATCCAGTTCCATTGAATAATAACTGCAATTATAGTTATCTCTGTATATTGTCTTTATCGTTTTGGCAGCTTTCACCAATTTTACTCTGTATTGTTTACTTCTACGGCAGACGGTGTTCATAACTGTTGGGGAGTTCTTTAGTAATGGTTACGTCTTAGTAGCGGTGGTGTTTGTGTCTGTGATCATTAAAGGTGTCTTGTTGCAAGCATCCTCACATGCTACAGTGATACCTGGTTTTAAAATTCGTATGAATCTACAGGTGAGTCAGCCAGTTTGTGTCGCGATGCTTCACACGCAACACATACA